TCTCTACATTGCATCATATCATCGCATTTGCATATGCGTACCCAAATTTCCATTCATGTGGGGGATTGTAGGATTGGTTCAAATAATTAACCAAAAATTGGAAAATGAAAAGGTGTGTAAAAGTGGAAAATGAAAAGGCGTGACTACGTGTCAATTTCGACCAAATATTCGGACTTAATCCGATAGTCAAATTACAAAAGAAAATAGACTAACTTATTCTACTCGTCGTGTAGATTGTCATGTTATATTTGAAATCTCAAAACCAATTCCGAATGAATGAGAAATTGAGGACCAAAATTGAAAGAAATGAAGTGTTACAACTTTTTGAAACGATGTAGGTTTTAGTCAAGTGTTGCAACTTTTTTGAAAGGGTGCATGTTTTGGCCCACACTACTTCATTTGCACCCTTTCTACATCTATAAATAGAACCCTATGGATATGATTTTAGATACACCAATTATATTGAGCATTCATTCTCCTCTTACAATTCTTTCCTTTCTAATTCTATAGCATTTTTATACATTTCCTTTGTAGAGGGAAAATTCTGTCAAAAGTTAGTCGGTTTCTTGTGGTTTGAAGTGCTGCTACCATAAGTTGTGAATCCATTGTATCTTAGGAGAAAAATATCATTCACCGTGAGCACCGTAGAGGGGCAATTTGTCTTGAGGAAAGAGATAACGTCTTGCCTTAAATTATTCTTTATTTCTACTCCTTCTTAATCCTTGTTTTGCGTAATCATTATACCGAAACTCTGCCAAATTTTCATTCATATAAATTGTGTTTTGATCACGCTCTTGCGCGTTAAAACTGGTCAAACAAATATATTAAAAATCAACCCTTATATAACCCTTTTTATAAGTCGTCTCCAACACTTTTAACCAAGAAATCAACAACACTAAAAAGAGCGTTTATGTAAGATTCTACTGTGTCTAATTAATTGGGTTACAGTTTATGAATTGGCTCAACTTCGCCCCTTTCTGACTCACCCTCTCCAGAGTCAACGTCATGCTTTTCTGATGCAATACGGAAAGAGTTAAAAGTCTATATTCAATGCGAAATACTACGATTAGGTAGAATTAAAAATTGATGTTTTCTTTTAGTTCTATTTATTTTTTATGTTATCTTTTATTTCATTTTATAAAGATATGAAGTTTGATGCTATCTTTTATCTAGATAGAAAGGGAATTTATTTACCTTCAAAGTCCTTCACTATATAACGGGACTTAGGAAATCATTTTAGAACAATTTGAATTTTATGAAATAAAACAATTCTCTTTACCCTTAATTCTTCTCTTTGATCTCCTTATTCTCTTATTGTTCTTCGTCACGTTTGTGCATTTTCCTGCATCATTTTCCCTCCACAAAGCCCCACTAACACTACTACATGAATCCTTGTCGGGGCCATTTCCTGACTATCGTCTCTCTTGAACTTTCTTTCACTTACAAATTATAAATAATATAACACTATGTAATATGCCTGTCTGATAATGATGGTGAGGGTGGTATTGGTAGCAATGACAGACGATGAGTTCTTGAAGGTGAAGAGGCATTGAATTGTGGATTTGGAAAATGGGAAGAAATGGAGTATGATAGGTGGGGTGGAGTCACTGGCAAACCTATATATGGTCCTCGTGGGTCACAACTTTCAAGAAATGTAAATATATTTTTTTTATCATTTTTTCTATTTTGGGTTTTAGAGCCAAAAAATCAGATTTGGGCAGTAATAGTAGTTGGGCTTTTTTATTAGAATAGAGTTACAACAATGATTAAACAATTGAAAGAGTGAGAGTTGAGATTATTTTGTCACATGCGATATTTAATTTGAAAATTCTTTGGAAATTATTATTTATCATTTATGTGAGATTACTTGGAATTCTTTGAGAATTATTATATATATATATATATATATATATATATATATATATATATATATATATATATATATATATATATATATATATATATATATATATATATATATATATATATATATATATATATATATATATATATATATATATATATATATATATATATATATATACATAATTTTTTAGCCTCCGTTTGAGCCACATTATTATAAAAATGAGAATGAAAAGTATAGTCTTTATGGGCTCTGCACAAGAGATAAAAAGTCAAATATGGTTGCTTGATGTGATGTATAATGGTCATATTTTTCATTTTAATGAGAAAATAATGGAGCTCGAACTGGGTCTTAATAACTTTTTAATAAGTTAGATCGTGCTCCACTAACACCAAATGTCTGCGTCCATCACTAAGTGGAGTAGATATACCTAATTTAAAAAATAAACAAATAATAGAAGAAGTTATCAGCACCTGAATTTTAAAGTTGAAAGTAAGGTAATTTTTCATATGTTTTTTGGTATGTGACTAGAGAGTTAGTGAGGAAAAATTGTAAGTCTAAGTTCAAACTTTAAAATTGGTGAGAGTGGTATAATTTTTACAGCAATGTTGTGCACACAACACCATGTACAACCCACTCACATCGAGGGGGTTGCCGATTAAAAAAATGGGCGTGGGCCCCCTCTACAGTGAGGGGGCTGTAAGTGTACAACACCTTTTGGTGCTGTACAAGTAGGTTAATTCTAATTTTTATGGTGCGTTTGATTGCCAGGTAATTTACATGAAAATAAATAAATTCTAGATAATTAAATTACTTAGAAGTTATTTGCATGAAAATTATTATTTAAATGTATTTAATTGATTTAGTTTTTCAACCTAAAAAATTTCATATTTGTCTATTTTTTATTGGTGGGTAGATAAGAAAGAATGAGAAAATGAATTATCGGAAAAATAAAAACTATCTTTTCCTAAACAAAGGGCATGTTTGAGCCACATTTTTTTTTTAAAAAAATACATTCTTAAACAGTGATTTGATATCATTTCAACTACACATTTTTTAGTAAAATAATATTACAGGCAAATTCAAAACATTTCTTTATTTTTTAACCATACATTTTCCATCAATACACTATTCAAAAATTCATTCTAAAGAAAATAACGTGGTTCAAACAAGGGCAAAATGCTTTTCTTGTTTTTAAAGAAAATATGGTCACATGACCAAAAATTAAAAATATTTTCCATTGAAAAAATTATCAATCAAACACTATAAAAATAGGAATTTGAGTCGGAAAAAAATGACATGTTTCATTAAAAAAAATAAAGCCAATCAAAAAAAAAAAATTCCTATAATAATTGGGGAATTTGGGTCATTGAAATTTTGTAATAATGTAGTAAAAGTTTTGACAGTCTGTAAATATTTCATATATATATATATACATACATATTTATTTATTTATTTTGGGTGTTTGCAAATTTTCTCTCAACAATAAAAATCCCGTTGGCAAAATATGGGGAATTTGACTTAACTCCCAACAGTCCCCCACCACTCCTATTATAGGGGACTAACAATAGGACGGTCCAACATACATGTTGACAGCTCCTTTCAAACCATGTGGATGAGTGTGTACTAAGGGATTTTGCTACACACAAGGCATTTGACAGGATTTAAGAATAGGGGGATAAGTGTCAAACATTCATTGGACGATAAAACAAAAAAGAGCAAAATCGATGCTGAGTAATATTTGACTGGATTTAATAATAGTGTAACATATGTCAAGCATTCGGTGGACAATAAAAAAAAGAAAGAGTCAAACAGGTGCTGACACGTAGCATCTACTTTTAAATCCTATCAACTGTCCCTTTCTGAATAACTTAACTCGTGTACTAACAGTAAAATCTCATGTTGATTATATATGAAATAAAAATCAAATAATCAACTAATAAATATTTGAACAATTCCTTTCAAAATGTTAATTTTTAAAATGGAACTCCATAACTCAAGATAATGGGCCACGCCATCGAAATGTTAGATTGGCAACATACGGTTGCCACGTGTTAAAGGTAAAATCTCACAATATGACTAACACTATTTAGCCTCATTGAGATTGCAATTTCAATCTAGTTGACGCTAATATGACATTAATTAATAGGTAGAATTAAATAATTTACTTAATTTCACATTTAATTTAACCTATCATTTAATGTCATCTAAATTGGGATTGCAACTTCAGTATGACTATATAACATTACTCTTAAGATATAGACATTAATCTAATATGTGAGTTTAAATTACTCTTAACCCTTGTTTGAGTCCCATTATTTGGTAAGAATAAGTTTTGGAATAGTATTTAAAATATGTGTGTGTGTGTGTGTGTGTGTGTGTGTGTGAGAGAGAGAGAGAGAGAGAGATTGAAAATTAGGATAAATTTTTAAATTTACATATAATGTTATTTTATTAAAACAATAATAAGGTTGACATTTTAAATCAAAAAATCAAATCTTAATATAGTATTAGAGTCTAAGAAGTTAAACTATCCGTTCGTTATGTCGAAGCTTCAAAGAAGAATTTGAATTATAAGATTCAGCATCGCTTCTCTCTCTAGTCCCATAGTATAGATATACTCAAACATTCCGACATCTTGCAGAGCATATTAATCGCAATAGCACACACTGATTAAAATAACAAATATTACAAACATATAAAGACTTGAATTACTCTTTTTAACAAAGTAAATATCCTAAAATCAAACCCCAAATAATAAAGTGGCATGGCATGCTAACAATAAATTTCATTCAACGAAGATATACGGTGGATGTGTATTTAACTATGGTCCCGTTTGGTAGGGATTTTTTGTCCCAAAAAATTGATTTTTTGACCGTTATTTTACTATTCGCTGTAATTTTTGACTTCTTCTCTCACATGTGGACCCCACTTTTCTTCTAACAGTCAAAAAATCAATTCTCAAAATCCCTGTCAAACGGGCCCTATATAAAGACAATAGTAACACCTATAACTAAAGGAGGCTTGACCAACTTTATCTACCAACAAAGATTTCGAGCTTGGGAATTAATCAACAAGGGTGAAATTGGTGGTTAATTAAAAATAATAATAATAATCAATGTAGCAATGATCCAAATAACAAAAAAATATTTATGCATCGGATCTCGGATTTATTGAGAAAAATACTGTTACCGTTGTCCATGTTATAACATTTTATCTAGTATGTAAATTGCAAAACACATGTACAGATTAGTTGCAGTTTCCTCTGTAATCATATCATATATGGTACACCATTCCCACTTCTAATGTTGAGGCATGAGGTACACTATTTAATGCATAGGTTGGTGCCCTACAGTTCCTCCTCAAAAAATCATACCCAAAATTTATAACAATCTTCTTCACTAGATTTGAGCCTTGCTTTGCTCTCACATATGTGTGTCCCAAAATGTAGGCTACGCCGGCTTCTCGAGCTTCCATCAGTTCGCGCAACTCTTTACGAGCATCTCTGTCAATTTTCGGGCTCTCTGGAATCACAAATCTTACCCTTTTCCTAGTCTTGATCACTGGTGGAGAGAGTGTTTCTATTTCTCTAAGCTCAGATGTTCCAGCATCTTCTGGATTTGCCCCTTCCTCCACACACATCTTAATCCCATCTAGATGAGTTGAAGGAGTTCCCACCACCATCATTCCCTCACATTGCTTTGTCGAATCTTCATTTTCTTCGCTTAAACCTCCTCTTCCAGTCCGAATGTACTCGGCTATACTACAGAAAAGATCATTCTCGAACTGTAAATCATCCTTGTGAGCATCACGATAACCATATCGAACAATGCATCTGTACACATGATACTCTTTTGGACCAACGTGTCCCACAAGAAACCGTTCTTCGTGTTTAACATGAGGGATTGGGACTGACTTAACGCAAAGAAAAATGAGAACCTGGTGGAAGGCCGGAAGAGTGGCAACAAAGTGGGAGAAAATTGCTGGGATTCCAGATACGAGTTCTGTGTGTATAAGGCCAATGCCACGAACCCGAACAATGCCCAAACTCGGACCGAGGCCAAGTAGCCAGTCAACAGATACCTTATTTTGAACATCGTACTCGTACTTCTTCAGTGTCCCGTAGTGCCAGATACACATCACTATCATGAAAACAAATGCCAGGGCGATGGGTACCCATGCTCCTTCCAGAAATTTGATTAGAGAAGCCGAGAAATAAAGGGCTTCGATTGTTCCGAAGAATAAGACGAAACCAACTGCGATGAGGACGCTCCGGTGCCAGCATAAAACTATAACTATAGACATCAAGCAAGTGGTGACTAGCATTACAGTAATAACTGCCAGACCTGAAAGGAAAAAATAACGACCTTGGGTTTAGAAAATGTCATTATAGAACAATTAGATCACATAACAAGGCTCTGTAGCTATAATAAACATGCATTGGGTTTCTTGACATCATTTTTTGTTGGTCTAAGATTTTCAACATCTGAAGATGCAGAAAAAGGAAAAAGGAGAGCGAATCCAAAGCAAAAAAGAAACTCTAGGACGGATGTTTGGCATTTTTATTTGTTTAGAATAGACATGAAACTAAGAGCATGTTTGGCAAGCTTAAAAGGTTTACCTTTTTTCTGGACACTACCATACAGGTAATCATTTTTATTTGAAAGGAAAAAAAAGTTATATATGCAAACATGTTTGAAATCTAGTACCTTTTTTTAAGCTAAGACAAACACAAAAATAACACATGTTAAAGCTGTGTTTCCTACTCGTTTCTTGGACTTGAGCCTTACCTGAAGCATTACCCATACGTTTGGTGTCTCTGAAACCTATTGTGACAGCCAGACATAAGAGCATTAAAATCCAGTTGATTTCAGGGATGTAAATTTGCCCATGAATTTTTGACGATGTGTGCAATATTTTTACTCTCGGAAAGCATCCCAATGCAGAACACTGTTTTATGATAGAAAAAGTTCCGGTAATGATCGCCTGGCTTCCTACCACTGCAGCAAGTACAGCAATCACCAGAACTGGCCATCTTAATTTCTCTGACAAAATAATGGATATATTCCATCAATGGAAAACTCTCTTACTGATAATATTTAAAGGCACATTTGGTGTGCGATATTAGGCAAGAGTGGACTGTACAATATACTAGATTTTAGCTCATTTTTCTTCGTCTATAGAGACCTTACTTCTTTTAAGAGCAAAAGTTGAGGGTGCATACCAGGTACGGAAACATAAAATCCAATGCGGTAATCATTTTCAATATAATGGTGCCGAGAGAGATAAGCAGCTTGTCCCATATATGCAAGGATCAGTGAAGGATAAACAATGGTTGTGAAGGCTATCTGCATACATGAGGTACATCAGAAAAAAGCATCAGTTTTACGATGAAACTGAAATTCAGTGATGTAGACAGTCTCAAAGTTGTCATGGACATAAATAACAGTACTGACACGAGCTTGACGAGGGGTTTTACAGCTTATCATATAGATTACAATTTTGTTACGAATGATAACACAGAAATGAAGATTAATCAAATTTACCCAATCTGAGGCATGACATAATGAAGAGTGAAACAAGAAAGTTGATTTATTTAGATGTGGTTGTGAACATTCATTTGGACTCTTCAACCTCCACCAAGATTCAGGTGCTTTAATAATTTGATTTGGCTTACAAATTCTGTTAAAGGAACCCGAAGCAAAAATCAATTTTTTAAAATGGTATCCAGTGCAAAAATGATCCGGTCAAAATTTTCAGAGACTACCATTTTCAAAACTCCATAAGTTCATTTATCTTTTCACTTGCTGTTTTCCCGGACCCTATTCGGCATTGCATAATTGTTGCATACTTCACAAAATTCTTAACACAGCTTGATAAAACCACTCAACTTATTATCTGCCTTATTCAAGCTTTAAAGTTTTAGCGTCATTGCTTGATAAGAAACTAGTTCTTTGCCTATTTTTTAAAGCTATGATGTCTTTTTGACAATAATATCAACTCTATCTTTATTAAAATGACCTTCAAGTATACATTAGAAGCATCCATTGAACATAGCACGATGTCATAAAAAATTTGTAAGTACTAAGCAATACATATGATGAGAAAAGTTTTACGTTCAAAAAGTAGAATAATAATCTTTCTAATAAGTAAAATAAACCAAAAGCTAAATGAATATGAACATACTTTTTAGAATTTTATCAGTTGATTAGAGATTGTATCTGAGAAAGTGATTTAGGCAATTAGAATTCTTCCCTTCCAAATTTTTTAAAAATGCTTCTGTGCATGGAACTCCTGAATTAACCTATAGGCTTCCTGTAGTTCACTCACGCTTATCAAAAGCCTCAGCGTTTTTACATTTTGGCAAGTTTATGTAGCATTTTCTTTTAGTCTTAATTGGCATCTGAACTTCTTGTTTTCACTATTATTTTCGATTTTCTACCCTTAGATTCTCCTAATACCTCGATCTCTATATTTTTACTGTAACTAGCTGTTTCATTCTACATCTTGTTACTATTCCACTTATATTTCATTTTCCTCCCGTCATAAACATATCTAAAAAAGATATTTCATTTTCCACTTATATTTCATTCACATACTGCATGCAGTGGAAAAACACAGGCTAAAAATATCTTTGATGGCTAGTGCTGATACTAGTATTAACTATATTACACAAAACACAATATAAAAAGTACGCCTAGGTCGAAATTAGATTAGAAACCATGCCAAGTTAAGCAATATGCCTGATTGTAGATAACATATGGGTAGAATGGTATAATACCTTTATTGACAACTGGGAGAAGTGTCCTAGATCAGCAAACATTGCTTCTGAACCTGCAAAGAATTAAACCACAAGTTAGATAATCTTGCAAAAGACAGAAAGAGGAGATTGTTCATGTTAGCAAATGATTTGAAATCCACAATAAGAAATGCTTATACTTGCCTGTTATACACAACAGGATCCCGCCCAAGGACATCCAACCTCCTCTTTGTGTTTTCTTTAGAAATTTGTACATATAGTACGGGGATAGAGCTTGATAGATGTGAGGATTCCAGTGAAGTATATTATATAGACCAATCACACTGATGCACAAAAGCCACGTTATGACCACAGGTGCAAACAAGAATCCAACCCTGTGGGTGCCATAATGTTGCAGGGCAAACAAGGCTATCAGTATTATACAAGCAACTGGGACTTCTATATCTGCAAGATTATTGCATTTTAGGAGGCAGTAGTACATTTCACTTAATTGTACACTATAAGCACAAATGAAATGACAATAAAAAGTTGGAGAGAAAAAGTCTACTTAAGCCAACAAAGTTCAAAGAACTAAGCTAGTAATTCATATAAATCAACCTGTTAGATTCAGTGTCAATGTCTCAACAACATTTCTACAATGTCGATTAAATCAATGTACATGAAGAAGCTTCATTTCATATTACATATGGCCTTAGACAATATCAAAACTTTCATTAGAAGTGGTGTCTCTTGTTCAACTAAGAGGTACGACATTAATCAATATAGTTGCTCAAAATTAAACCGCATTAACTGGAGTTAATATTGGGGTCTCTATGCCAGAAAAGCATAAATCAAGTGCTGCAGGCAAGACCGCTGGCATCCCTGCGGACCTCATATTGGAGGATAATCACAAGATTTGCTTCTAATACCCATCCAACTAGAATTCTATCATTTGTAATTGTTATTAGCAGTGGAACAGTGGGAGAAAACCAACAGGTGAAATCAATAAAAAATGTAATGTAGTGCGTTTGAACCTTGATGCCTACTGAAGGTAAAACTTGATAGCATTAAATGATTGCCTTCTAGAAGTGGCATCTATAAGCTCCAAAGCGCTTGAATTCTCTTTAGGAAATAATCTACAGTGATTAATTTACACTATCTTAGTTGGTCCTAAAAAACAAAAAAAAATAGATTTTCTTTCATTATTTGGTTGGCTCGTCATATTAGACTATTTACAGCAGATAAGCTGAAGAAATAGTAGCCAGCTGGTGAATGATGCAGGATGTGGTATGTTGAGCAGGAGGATGAATTGACGTGCTGCCTTTTCTTCTCGTGTGCATATATTCCCACTGTCTTTTAGCATAAAGTGCAGTAGTAACTACTAACTACCACCTCTACTCAAGTTTGATTTGCAGTATATGACTTGATATAGGAATTAAGCTATCTCTGAAACAATGAAAGACAATAATAGCATTTGATCACATAATTAATCAAAGATTTTGGAGAATCCATTTTTTGTTTTCTTTTCGCTTCCATGAGCATTAGCTAATAAAGACAAAATGTTCACACAAAGGTCCACTATATCCTACAGTACTGAACGAATTACGCCATACTCTTGATAATCCATTGAATCGATGATTGTTCCTTCAAATGAAACAACAAAACAAGCCACAAACATTTTTCCGAGGATAGTCACAAGTTATCGAGTAATGTCCTGGAAAGCTGCGTCAGAACAACCAAATGGGACAAAATTTAAAATCTTACATTTGTGATGCTCTCTTGACATAGCAAGTTCAACACCAGAAACTGCTGAAAAAACTGCACAAAAGGCCACAATGATAAATCAAACTCAAGTCAACTAATCGTCCAAAATAGCTAAAAATGAAAAATCCACAAGAAATAATTTCCATACCCGAAAGCGCAGGAGTTAATATACCATCCCCAATCACCATACAAGCACCAATCAGAGACAACACAAGCAAAATTCTTTGCAACACTCTATGCTTTTCCAAGGTAGATTTTAGCCTTGCCCCAAAAGTTGATGGTGCAGGACTAATAATATCCTTCTTATAAGTCGACAAATCCTCGTCCTCCAATTGGCAACTAGGCAATGAATTCACTCTAGCATGTCTACATAAAAGTGAATACAGTGCAAATGTTCCTCCTTCACCATTATCATCAGCCTTGAGCACAATGAACACATATTTCAAAAGAGGAATTAAAGTTAATGTCCAAAACACAAAAGAGAGAACCCCGAAGATTTCTTCATTGGTCTCTGAGTGTTCAATATCTTCAGCAAAAGTACTTTTGTACACATATAATGGTGATATACTCAAATCCCCATATACAACACCCAAACTCTGATAAGCCAATGTCAATACAGTTCTCCAAGATTCTTTCTGCAAATCCCAGTACAAAAATCAAATCAAAAACTCAAAAATAAAACTTATTAATCGAGAAAATAATACGCCTATTAACTCACCTTAACAAGATTCTGATAGTTCCCAGTTTCAAGATCCATTGTAAATTCTCTCAGCACCCCAAAATACCCATTTCCACTGCAAATTCAAGAACTTCAACTATGACCTTCTAAACCACCCACCTCAGTTAACAACTTTCAAGAAAACATATAAATATTGACACACCTACATAAAGAAATTAAGAAAAAATATTGTTTATTGGGACATTACCTAAACTATACATTCCGCAGTTCAAAACAAGGGCTTAACTGTAGTTGTGGAACCTCAAATCAGAGCATAAAGACTAGTAAACACTATAATATTTTGCTTCTGACGGTGAAAAGATAGTTTTTTATTTTATTTTATTTTTGTTTGGAGGAAAGTGAGATATGGGTGACGGGGCTCTGAGTTTGTGTATTTCTTGGGTGATTTAACAGATTATTCCAATTGGCTTGAGAGAGAGAGAGAGAGAGAGAGAGAGAGAGAGAGAGTGAACGTGTAAACGTGTGCTCTCAAATTAAGCGGACAATTGGGTGACTAATAGATTTGGGTCTCTCTTGTAGATTATAGATTAGTACCTTGATTTTGATATTATGAAGTTGAGTTACAATATTGAAAGTCCTTTTAATTTAGTAAAATAAAATTGAATGTCATTAAATAAGGGAGTTATGAAATATTAAATATGTTTGACTTAATGCATATGCTTACCTCAGGTAAAACTGAAAATTATCGAACTCACCTAATGTATATGATTACCTCGAATAAAGCCGAAAATTATTAAAGAGTTCATTATTCTTACCTCGGGAAATATTAAAGAGTGATTGGAAAATTGAAAATAAATTGTGTAAAAATCAATGGTAAATTAATATGGCAAACTACACTCAGATCTTCACTTCTAATTTTAATGTTTTGCGAAGCAGATTATATGTATAGAAGGGGGGTCATTTCAGCCGCCAATGCCACTGGACATACCCACTAACATGAAGTCCTCACTCCCGGCTACACAACCCACCCAACTATCAGTGATAACACCTCCAGATATGGTTGGAATTTCCTCCCAAAAATAGTAACTTGCGCACCTTCAAACTGGCGACAACACACCCTCCAGAACTACCCGTGATCATTGACATAGCTTCATATTCACCAACGATCAAAAAGGGTCTATCAAGGAGATATCTAGCTAGTCAATGAATAAAGATAAGAGTGGTCTTGTACTATCTCGACATGCATCAAATAGTTAGATTAGGATAATCGTGCTCTTGACTGGGGTTACACATTAGTAGCAATCATTCACTTATTTGGGGTCCCCTTATTTAAGAGGGATCAAGAAAAGCTTTCTCTGTGATGACCTATTCAAAAGGTCACGAGCAGGATTTTAGGATAGGCTTCACGATTACTTTTCTATAGGTCGGCGTATGAATATCTTCTACAACACTTTATCTTCTTCAAATTGGTTCCCAATGTTGTATTGAAGAAATTGATGAGTATTTTTGCCTGATTCCTATGGGATTCTAAGAATTAGACGCGTCGCTTACACTGGAGAAGATAGAAAGAGATTTGCCTTGCAATTGATGAGGGTGGACTAGGTTTCGAGAGATTACAGGACGTAGTGGACACTTTTTCCATGAAGCTTTGGTGGTTGTTTCGTTCTTAGATATCTATTTTGGCTCAATTTTTATCAGGCATATATTGTTTGGGAACACATCATCACATGCAACAGTTCCACGTTTAGCCTCTCTTGTCTAGAAAAGGCTGAAGTTAGTTGAGCCATGAGCGAAGCCACACATTTTGTGGCATCTTAGAATCGATTAGATATTCTTTCATCATGATTGTTGCATGAGAAATACTACTTTGGCATCCTTATATCCACACCGACAATACTTGTCTGCAAGGACGCAAGACTTCTTAGATGGCACTGGGTAGAACTTTGGACGATTACTATAGGTTCTTCCACCTCATATGGAGGAACATATTAAGGTTATTTCCTTATGTATAGATGCCTCGAACCGCATTGCTTGGAGGGATACATCAGATGGTAGCTTTGCTACCAAGTCAACATGACAGTTAGTTCAATCTTGTAGACAACCTCAACACTCATTTCGATTACTATTGAGATTTATTCTTCCAATAGCATACTCATTCTACTGCTAGAGACTATGGCAGAATTTGATTCCAGTAAATGTTGTTATACAATGCGCATTAGATGTCATTTGGCCTCTTGGCGTCATTGTTGCTCTGAGATTGGGACCATTAGTCACCTTTTAACAAGCATTAACATGTATGACTAGGCATGGCATCATTTGGGGGGCATTTTTCAGTTACCTATGACGATAAGATAGAGCGCTAAATAGATATTCTAGAGATGTCTTTTGGACAGTATGTACAATGTGGACATATTCACATTATCATTCATATGCTGATATTTTGGTTTCATATGGATTTAGAGGAATCATGCGAAGCACAAGGATATTCGCATGGTACCTAGATGGATCCTTTAAAGAGCATACTACATGATCTCTTTTTTTCACATGGAAGGATTTTTTAGAGCTTTGTATTGGCAAGGGGATTTGAGTCTTTCACCCCTCTTTGTTACTTTTATGACAATCCCTCCCCCATCACCACCGATTTTGGTTATGCAGCGAACTGCACCAGTGGGATCTTATAAAATCAACACTGATGGATGTGTTAATGATGGATTTATGAGTGGTAGAGATATCATTAGGATCGTACAAATTATTTCCTATGACATTTTCATCATCATATGGCCCATAACTAATTTTGGAGGTCAAGCTCAGAGTTATACTGGACGAGATTCTACTGGCCAAAGAACTTGGTATTTTAATTATTTGGATTGTGGCAGATTCAACTGTGGCCATTCAATGCATCACTAGGGTGAAGAATTCATACACCTCTAATAAGTTTTTAGTCTTCACCAAGGAAGGTTGATGGAAGTTAAGAATTCGTCAATCATATATATATTAGTCAAAGTTAAATGTGCATTGCACGTCATTCTAAAAAAACTTTATAAGTGATGTAAAAGTAATATTTGGTACCAATTCGTTGGAGGATTTAATTAGTTTCGGATGAATTAAAGAATATAAAATTTAGCATAGAAATTTAAGAGAAGAAAATTACTCTCAAAACTCAATTTCTATGATTCAAAATTTTTGTAATGATAAAATACTATAAATAAGGAATTTTTTTATATTACATTTGATTCATAAAAATTAATTGTTAATACAAAAATTTAAACACCTATTAAAATTTTTAGATACATGAATATGAATAAATTTATCTATAATAACTCTAGATGAAAATTCATCGAATCTATGTTAATGTGAATGCTAATTAATTGAGAATTAATAACACAAATTTCATAAATGACAATAAATATGTAGCATTTAGTATATATCGAAAAACGAAAAATAAGGTATTATTGAAATAGTTGAATTGCAAGGAGGTTAAAATCGTCCAAAAAATTATTCTTCATTGATATGATATTTTAATATATTATAGACATATCCTTAATTTCATGCATTCTTATCTTCAACATTTTATTTTATTTTTAATTTGCACATCTTATAAATAATGGTTTCTGTCAAACAAGTTTGCTTGAAGACATAAAATAACTTATTATCCAATCATATTTTTAAAAAATGATAAATACAAAAAGTTATATTTTTTCCTCTCATTTTAAAGCACACAATATATATCACTAATAGAATGATTTGCTAATTAATATAATGTTGAAGATAAGAATTCGACTTAAATGAAGTATGGCCAAAAGTTTTTCTCATCAGTGAAGGCTAAGGGCTTTAAGTGAAATTAAAATATAGTGTTACTAAAAAAAAATAGAGGTGTGAATATAATTATCCATTATAATTTTTATTTAGAGACGAGTCTAACGAATAATTGAGCCATTATTGTAACACGAGTACTGAAATTACTAATATTAAAAGTAAATTAAAGTTCAGTATTATAGTAGTGACACGAGCGGTAATTCGTGAATAATATTCTCATCTTATTAGGTATAAAGAAGACCTAACTAATGCGACCCAGTGAAGATGTACCAACCAACAATTAAATTAGTACTATTTGGGCCATTTCTCTTAATTTTGTTAATTATAATAATATAATTAGAGAGTCGTGCACATATTTATTATCGTGGTCCCAACTAATCTTCTTGAAATGATAGTCTGAGGTTCAACAAATTTGAATATATATTTTCTTGAATAACAGGGGAACTCACAGCTGCTACTTTTTTTTTTTTTTTTGAATACTTTTATAAGATACAAACTCTCAATTCATGAACTTATAAATTTATAGCACAATTATTGATGTAAACAACAATTAATTAATAGTTATTTTTTTCATGGTTGATGAAAATTTCACGTCACACCCCATGCTTTTATAGAGAGAGAGGGAGAGTGTGTTATGATTAGGCATTGTTTGACCTAAACACCAACTTATACAAATCTATTTTCTACTAACACAAGGAATTTGAATATGGTGAAAAGTGTCCAAAAAATCGTAACACGTGTCTGTTGTAGTATGAAGTTGGATCGATTACTTGATAAATTACACTATCTAAAAGGTTAAGTTATTAGAATTTGGATGCATTTGTTTATTTATTAATTTTGTATCAAGCACCTCGCATACTGGTTGATTATTTTTTCATTTATGTTTGACTATACAAAATTTTAAGAAATGAGTGATAACGAGACTCTAACTCGTAATACTTACTTACATTCATCTAAAAATTTAAATAGAGAAATATTGTACAATTATTAATTAATTGTATTAAATACACCTAATTTAACGTAAATTAAGAATAGATTTAGGATTATCTAGAACATTTATACCTAAACAACAAGAATTAAAAATCAAAATGAATTCTAAAAAAGCACGTGCACGTAAAGGAATTGGTATTGCATTTGCTTTTTATTTCTAATTCAATAATTCTTCAACGAATAATCTTCAATGTGGAATAGAGATTTTATATATATATATATATATAGTTTTTTAAAAGACGATTCTTTTTTTTTCTTTTTCTTTTTTTTTTTATTTTCCCTTTCTTCTCTTATTTTCTTTATATTGTTAGAGTAAGTGGTGAAGGCATCCAATATCATTATTTAACATTAATTAATGGTCCCATTAAATCTAAAACAAATCAAATTCAATCAGATACAAACAAAAATAAGGTGTTTGCCCTTGGGAAATTAGTACTACTTTATTTTATTTATTTGTTGGAAATAATAGTTATTTAGGTACATTAATAATTTCTTGATTGGACAATTGATTGCTATAATCCTACAACCAGGTCATGTCAATTTACATCCCAAATACAAAATTGATTGGGACATGAATTGGATTTTAAACCTTACTTATATTTCAATCAAGTAATTCAATCTTGAATAAAGTTGCTTGGCCGCCTATGGCAGCTCTCTTCAATCTTTACGTATACGTCACAACAATGATCTCGTTAGG